AAAGAAATCATGGATACTTGACAGGATGGGACCAGCAGAAGAGAAATAAAAGCTGGGAATCTGGAGGACCAGTGAGCATTTGTGGGGAAGAAGGACTGAGAAATCAACATTTACATTCCAACTGATTCGGAGGGAGCGAAATCCTCCAAAGCTTTTCAACGTCCCTGTAACATCAAGCACTGGGAGAGAGCCTCTAAGCACATTCCCATAATTAAAGCAATTTACTGGCTCCATCTGCTGTAATAACTGCCTAAATTATGACAATGAATAGGCGACAAGTCTGCTATCGTGTAGGGAGGAGGGAGTATGGGTGGTATATATACTGCATATTTGCATACTGTTAGCCTGATATTCAAATCCCTCATAATCTTGCCTGATTTTTCTGGACTCACTCATTCACTGGTCAAATATTTATTGAGTATATTTATGTGCTATGCATTTTAGTCTATTGGGATATAACAATAAACACAGACAAAAAAAGCCTGCCCTCATGTAGTTTACATTAATTACAAATGTTTTGACTACATTCTGCTGTCCAGACACATTGAAATATTAGTATGTTCAATAAGTACATATGTCATATTATTATAAAAGTCTATGTTTTTCTTTTCTACTATGCCTTTTATTCTGCTGATTTGAGATAGTCTTTTTTTCTGCTCTTGACAAAACTCAAGAAATCCCATGACTTTTAAAAAAACATGGTTCTAGTTAATAGAAAGTACTATGATCATATTAAGTTTTAAAAATAAAAGTTTAAGTTTTAAAAATAAAAGTTTCAATATATTAATCAACACTTTGAATTTAATTTAATGGTAAACTTTTTCTCCCTTTCCAGCTAAGATGTGTTCCTGGAAAATCTGCATTCCTCAAAGAGGTTGTAAAAGACTTTCTTTTTCTCTAGCAATCACCCCTCACCAGTTTACTAGAAGCTGCTTTTTTTTAACACTGAGGTTGCTATCATCTGCTGTTGGAGATTGAGGAGGAAAGATTGGTAAGATGGATAGGAAAGTTCCAACTTAAATATTACTATTGTGAAATGATTGAGTGCCCTTTGGGTATTCTANTGTGTGTGTGTGTGTGTGTATAGTATGTGTGTGTACATATATATATATATATATGTATATTAAAATAAGGTATATGTAAAATACGATATATATCTGGCATGGTTCCTGATACAGAGCTCCTAAAACCCCTTGAAAATGGGAGTCCTAGAACATTTTGTCCTATCATTTAGTTTGTGGCCCTGGTTCATAATGCATAGCTCCCAAGACGTTTGTAATTTCTTGAGTGATAGGCGCATCTGATACTGAGCTTCTAAATCCCTGGGAATTTTCTGGGTGATAGGAACATCTTTTGTTTAATGAGGTGACTCAGTGAGCTTCAGTATGGGCGCTGGTCACCAGAAAGAACAAGTCATGATTATAAGCTTGAAACCTTCATCTCTACATCCCATTCTCTGGAGAGCGAAAATAGTTGGAAATGGACTTAATAGTCAATCATATCTATGTGATGAAGTCTCCACTAAGATCCCTACGATATGAAGTTTGGAGAGCTTCCAGGTTGGTGAACATATCTACCTACTAGGAGGATGGTGCACCTGACTCCACAGGGACAGAAACTTGTGGACTGGGAACACCTTCCTGATGTTGCCCTGTGTATCTCTTCATATGCATTCTTTATCATATCCTTTTTTATATAATAAATTGGTAAACATAAGTATGTGTTTCTCTGACTTCTATGTGCTGTTCTAGCAACTGATTGAATCCAAGAAGGGGGGTCACGGGAACCTCTGATTTACAGGCAAGTGAGGCAGGTGTTGTGTGTATCCTGAAGACTTACTATTTTTGATTGGCATCTGAAGTGGGAGGCAGTCTTGGGGAACTGAGCCTTAACTTGTGGGGCCTGTGCTAGCTTCAGTTGGTATCAGAATTTAATTGAATTGTAGGACACCCAATTGACGTTGCAGAGAATTGCTTGATAAGCGGTAAACCCATACATCCGATGTCAGAAGTGTTGTAAGTGTGATAGTACTGAGAGAGTAAAGGAGAAACATACAGGAGGAGTGGGGTTTTTCTATATAGTATACATTAGAATATTAGAAAACATTTTTTATTATTATAATAAATCCTTGGAAAGAGCAAAAAAAAAAGACATTTAATCTACAGGATATGACTTAATACCTGAATCGATCCATCTTCTTTTAGTATAAGTATAACTTTGAACATTTTTTAAAAATTATGGACCATAGCTCCATAAAAAGAACTAGTAGAAATATGAGCAACGATTTTCCATTTTAGAGCAGTGANCTATCGCCCAATTGCAATGTATGGACCTTAGTTGGATCCTGATGTGGGTAAAATTTTAATATGAATATTGACAGGATATTTCTTGATAGTGAGACATTTTTCTTCATTTTGGAGGAAATAATAATTGTACTGTGATTAAGTTTTGAGTCTTTATTTTTAAGAGATACATATTGAAATATTTACGGATAAAATATTATGTTTTTGCCCTGCTTCAGAATAACGGACTGAGGGAGTAATTGGGAGTATTGATGAATGATTTCCTAGGACTCGATAACGTTGAAACTGGGTAGGTGATACACATAGGTTCATTATAACAGTCTCTGTAATTTTATTTACATTTAAAATGTTTTATACTAAAAAATTAAAATGTTTTAAATACTGCTGATGTCAAATTTTGGAAATGAGTTATACATTTTTTAATTTTAATTATGAATTTGAATATAAATATTAAATCCAGTTTCAGCATAGTTGTAAAACTTACTTTGAAAATGACTTTGGTAATAACTTCTTGGTAAAGAAATAACAATAAAATACTTCTTTAATGAATTCAATTTATTCTGTTTATTATCTTTATTCATATGATATTTGGTAGAGTTGAAAACCATAGGTCAGCTAATTCTGAAGAAGGGATGAGCTTTTAAACAATTAATTAATTAAACTTAATTTACATAATAATCTCATTTGCATAGTGAATGGACTGGGGATTGGTTATAGGCCATTAACAGTCATTAATAAATGAATCTGTGTCAGGAATACATAAGTCTGCATTTTACATTCAAGAGGCAAAGGTTAGTAATGAAATGTTAATACCAACATTGAAGAATCAGGCATTAAGCAAACTAACATTTAGCTTTTAGACTTCATGAATTTGAGAGGATAATTCATGAATTTGCTATTTGGCTATTTCTCTACATGCATAACTACATGCATATTGGGGCACAAACATGCATATATGTATGCATTAGTTGAACTATTATTAGCCTTCGATTTACATTTAAATGACAGTAATGAGAGCTAGTTGTATTATATTTACATATAAGAGGTAAACATATCTCTATTCCTAGAAACCTGAGCTATTTCTTGAAATTGCTAAGTTCCACAACCTAAATATTCACTAAAATTTTCTTTTACATCTAACTGCTCATTTGTTTCAAAGACAGATGGCAAATACAATTTTCAATTAACTTTCACATTTATTTTTACTTGCAATAAGGTAGTTTACGTAATATAATTTATACCTACCCTAACATTTTAACTCCTGGTTTGTCAATTAGATTTACAATTTGAAGCATCCCTTACATTTTATAAAAAATATAATGGCCTGCAGTTTAAAAATTTTAAAAACTCAAAGAGCTGGTCTGCTGTTTTTAAACAATTTAATTATGCAAGTGATGCATAATCATTAAAGATAGCTTAATTCCTTTAATTTCAAAGACACACTGTATGTAATCTGATTAGTTCAAATGATTTAATTGTACCTGTGCAGCCATCAATGCTAGATCAGTGAGGTTTGAAATAAAAGAAAAGGAGTGATTTATTTTTTCTGATCATCAATTCCTGAATTGAGATAGTTACACAGTGGAAAGTTCGCGAACTTAATCGTCCAACCTTCGTATAATACATCTGACTTTTACTCCCATTCCTACTCTCCTTTCTCTTCCACTAGCATTTATACATGTGTGTACCCTTGCCCTGGATCTCATGTTCTTTTTCTCCTTTCTAAAAATGCTAATTGATGCAGTGCTGTGACAAATGTCGAGGAATGGCCCCAAAGTAAAAGGTAAATGTTTCAGATCCAGTTTCCTACTTCACACTTTTTCTGAGATACTATTCTACTAATGGTTAAATTAAATTTGGTTTTCACGGATGTCCTAAATTCTAAAAAGGTTGGTGTGATTATATAAAAAGAGATGGATTGTTTAAGTGCAGAGAAGTATTACCTCAATGAATGGAAAAAAAATAGCATTTATTTCATTATTGATAATATCTCTCAGAATCTGTGTTGGCCTCTTTCATAAATTGGCTTTTACTTGCTTCTCTGTATGGTTACATTATAACATACTAAAATATTGAAGAAAGACTTTGGAGTCAAAAGATGTGAGCCAAAATCTTCAACTTTTCATTTACTGACAAGTGTCATTTTTAGAAAAAATCACTTAACCTTTGTAAAGTGAAGTGATTATGTCTTTGTAAAGTGAAGATAATAATTCTCATTTTCCAGAAATGAGTGTGAATTAAATATAATGCAACACATAAACTATGATAAATGTTAGTCGCTAATTGTAAGATGTGTTTTCCTCTATTCTAAGAAAATACAAGTACGTGAGTACCAGAAACCACACAATTCACAGACTGTCTAGTGGTCATGCACCCATTAACATATTACATTCCAGAGCATTGGCCAGAACCTCACAGTGGGAAGAGAATAAGGTTATCTAACACACTCAGATAATGACGGTATTCTACACCATCGTACACAAAGTTTGGAAAAAGTGTGTTATTGTATTGACATTTCAGGAGTATGAAATCCTCTTGGCATTGTCCTATATTAGAAATTAAAATAAAATGCCAAACATCTGCAAGCTTGATCTTCCTACATTCTTCACTAAGGGCTTTTAGGCATATGTATTTCATTTGACAATGAATAGAAACGCCACAAAATTTATTTAAAAACCATTAAATAATATAACTTACTTTTTGAAGGCACTCGGAGGTTGGCAAGGACCACTTCCAGGGAATCAGCTTGAACTCGGAGTACATAGCTCGTCTTTGTTTCGTAATCCAGAGGAGCATTCACATAGATAACACCCGTGACATTATTAATACCAAAATGATCTAGAATTAAAATATAATTTCTTGGTCATTTTCTTTGTATTATAAAGAACAATAATTCTCTTTAAAAGGCATTGTGATTTCAAAAACACCTATTTATAATACAAGTAATGCATGAAAGTGCTAAGATGCTGGCTTTTGGAAACCGTATTTCAATTCTTCGGAAGCTATGCTCCAGAAATTAGCAACATCAATGTTACCCTAAGTTCATTCCTTGAAATTCTAGCTTTTTAGAGATTCTCCTGGAAATTAAAGTTTCTGTGGTCTATTGTATTCGCGTACTACTTCCTTCACCATAGATTCACATGGTCCTCTAACATACTAAATGTTTTCAGAAATTCTGTTCTAAAGAAACCAATATAATTGTATTTTTGACGCAATTATTTTATTTTGACACAAGTATTTTATGGCATTATTAGATTACTATACTTTTTAAGATATTTTATTATCTTGTAGATTTAGTGTTCTGCTAAGAATACTTTAGGGGAAAACAGATAATTTAATATGTTGGTTATTTAGAAAATATAATTCTAAATAGCTTAAAATACTTTGCCCTGATGTCCATTTTTTAAATAAATGAGCTCATATATATTTGAGCGAACAGCAGGGCACACTGCTTTATTTTATAATACCCTATCTCTTGCACTCTTGACATCTTTTCCTCACTTTAGTTTCCTCCACAACATTTATTGCTACCTAAATACTACATATTTATCAGTTTAATAATTTTTGTCATCTGTCTCCTCTCATTGGATGGTTAAATTCTGTGAGGGCAAGGATCCATCTATTTTGCTTACTGTTCTATCCGTCATGGCTGGGAGAGTACTTGGTTCATAATAAATGCTCCAATAAACACTTGTTAAATAAATTATCAAATATTTGCTGAATAAATTAATAAATGAATTGATTGTAAAAAAAATAGTCATTGTGGGGGAAAAAAGGTAGTAAATAGAGCCACCCTGCTATTAATATCTTCAAGGAAGAGAACTGACAGAATCACAGAAAGAAAGTATCAGAACAGATTGAGAAATCACAACTTCAGTCTGACGTTGGCACTCTAAGGAAAAAGGAAATTTAGTAATATTTAGGGAGCAGGCACGGCAGCACAGTATAAACAAAGAAGAAAGCAATAAGAAATGTATGATGTTTAGTACGCTTCAAGGGCAGCAATTTCTTGTAAGGATTGGTTGTTCAAATACTGGGAAAGAGCCTTTATAATTTCCTTGCAAAGTGCTTTAACAGAATTAACATTCATTAATTAATTACATATTTAACATTCATTAATTTATTAGATATATTAACGTTTTTTTGTTTTTGTTTTTACTATCTATATCATGCCAAGCCATCCAGAAAAACAGAGGACATCTAAGTTGTGGATAATAGATGAGACAAAGAATGGGTGAGAAAGACTGAGCTATGGGCTTCTTCCAAGAGGCTCACAGACCATTCTATTCTCAGTCAATCGTGATGGGCAGACAAACTTAAATCATTTGTTAATTGTAGGTCTAATGTAACTGTTTGAGTAAACATATTATACAATATAAATGGCTTTTATCATGGATGTGGCTCTTTGGGAATTGACAGTTATCTATGATTCTAAAATTTCTTCAGGATTAGCTAAGGGATGACATGGAGTACAGGTCGTGGATGGTACAGAACAGTGGGAAGAGACCCCTGTATGGCAATAATTATGACTAAAAGCTGCAAGTGTGATGCACTGATTTTGAAGAAATGTCATTAAAATATCCCTGCATGAGTCAGACGAGAAGGGTTCCAGAATTGGATAGTTAATATTTCCTGGGGGGAGCAGGATGGGGGATCACTTTTTGTTAATATAACTGGGTTTTTAGTCAGATTCAGCATGTTGTTACCAATTACATTTAAGTTGGACACATTTGTATTAGAAATATAGAGTAAGCAATAATTCAATCTGAAATTAATTCCAAATCCAAGTTGATTAGTTTATGGTGGAAACAGAGACGAAATAAACATCTACTCACCCTCTTCATTTCCTGAAACAATGGAGTACACAATACTCTGATTGACGGCTGCTGCGGAAATTACACCAACTGTAGTCCCTCTGGGTGCAAGTTCACTTACTGGAGGAGGTCTGCAGGTTTGGAGAAAATGAATGATTTTTTTATTGATCATGTGCCATGATGGAGTTTTGACTTCAATAATAGAATGTGTTAGTTTATGAGTGTGTGTTTATTTGAATTACACTCTTTTCTGAAGCTTTTAAGGAAGTACTACATTAAGACTCCTGCTCTGAAAAACTTATGTTCAATATCATGCAAATACCCTTTTTAGAATATCTTGTCACCTGCGTTGTTTGTAATTTAAGATGAAGCACACTACTCTACTACTTTACTATGTGCCAAATAACATACACAGTTATTTTCACTTGTCTCTAAAGTACCTTCTGGACTGAAAGCAATAGATGGATACATTTTGCTACCTCAACTTGCTAAAGTAAAATGTTGCTATTGTGTTGTTGAGGTTATATTTAAGCAAATGATTCCAAATGTCTCTTTCTAGTCCTTAGATATGCTCTACTAAAGCTAAGAGTACTAAAACGTATTTAAATGAATGGCATCACAAAATTCACATTTCTTTTAAGTTCACTTATCTTGCTTAACTGTAGTTGACTACATTCTGTACCCACTACTATATTTACTTAATTTCAAAAATATATTTTCAACAATTATTTCATTCTCAAAATCTCAATTTTATTATATAATATTGGTAACTGTAACTAGGCTATCGTAAATTTATTTTCATAAATTATTGCAAATAATTTCACTTTCATAATTCATAGGTATTTATATCATTCAGCTCCAACAGATTTAGAAAATTATTGAATACAAACTTTTAACAATATCTCTGAGTCATTCTATAGTCTAGTCAATCTATCTAACGCATCTGATTTCTAATAAGCTTTAGGTTCTTTCCTCAATCTGATAAGATAAATCCTATTCCATTTGTTTTGCATGATCTTTTTCTTTCAATACTTACTCTTGTAATACTACCCTTCATTTTAGTCTCCATTTTCTCAGTTCTTCTAATCTAGATTGCGTTGTGTAATTATATCACACCCTCATTGAAGCTTTTTATAACAAATTCTGAGACACAAATGTAGTCATAAAAATTAATTACATACAACTGTTCATAAGCATCTTATGCAAGTTGCTATTTCTTTTGCACTACAGTCCATATACCTGATTGACTAAGTTGCCTAAATATGAAGTGATCTATCTTATAGATGCTCTACTACCTAATGATGGTCCATATATATTCATTGAATGGCCAATAACCATTTCTTCATTTATTTTACTCTCCTGCATCTTTTCTGCCTTCTTTTGTTAACAGTATCCAGATATTGCTCTGGATAACCATACCTCCTCCATTCTCAGTCTAATTGATTTGGGTAGGTCTGACCTAAGTCCCAGAATATATGGATAGACACATTACCTATCTCTGGCCAATGAGGATACTTTATCCTCTTTGCTAAGTGTTCATGTGTGGTAAACATCTCATGCAAAGCCAATGAAAATCTTGCCCAGAAAATGTACTGTTAACTATTAGGGAAAAAATAAAACCCTTATTTGTTGTTATTATTTTTTGGCTAGAATTTTAATATTTGTACCTTATAAGTAGGTTCTTGTTGATAATAATACCAACACAAATTAAGTAACTTAGGGTTGAAAATAGATCCCCTAAACTTTGACTAATATTCTAAATGCTGCTATACTTAAAGCTAGTTAAACTCATTTCATTTACAGAAAAACAAATATTCTTTTATTTCTCCTTTATCTACGATTTCTATCACTTCCAATCAAAGAGTCCCAATTAATTTATGAAAAATATGTTTAGATTAGAAAAGGGTACCTTTGCCTGGCAGATACTTCTCAAGTAAGATATCTGAGATAACATGATTATATCCTATAAGCAATTTATTTTGTCATTGTCAAGTGCCAGTGCAGTGAAAAAAAGTATACCTTTGGTAACTTTGAACAAGAAATGATAGTAGTCTACCACAAACAGGAAGGCACTTATAAAAGTGACAGTAAAGTTGGTTTTGATGGGACTGCTTTATGAACAGAAATATTGTACGATATTTTAGATTATTTAGACATTAAGACAATTTGCTGTTTGTAACACTGCTTAGTGCTTGACGATGGCGGTTGTGAAATAAAAACCTGAAATGGGTAAAAAGCAGGGAAATACAGAAACACAGTAGTCTCTTAAAAGGACCTCAATAATCTCCCCCTGTTGGTATTTCTGCCCTTGAATATTTCTCTCCTCTTGCATGAGGATCAGAGAGGGACTTGTTTCTAACCAACAGAAACTGGCAAAGTAGATGGGGTGTCACCTCGGTGATTATGTAACACAAGATTATAATTTGTAACTTCGTTCTGGCCAGTAGACTCTATCAACTCTGCTGGATTTAATAAAGTGGACATATGGAATTGCCCACATGACAAGATACTGAAGGCAATGTCTGACCAATACAAGGAGAGGAACTGAGGCCCTCAATCCAACCTCCCACAAATAACTGAATCCTACCAACAATCACATGAACTTGGACATGGACCCTTCTCTAGTCAAGCCTCAGGTGAGACCCGGACACTGGCCAACATCTTGGTTTAAACCTGTGTGAGACTATGAAACAGAGAACACAGGTGACTAATTCCTGACCTCCAAAAACTTCAAGATGATATATGTGTTTTAACTTATTAAGTTTGAGTTAATATTGTTATGCTGTGATAGCTGACTAATACATGTGGTTTGGATATTAAGAGCAATAAATTGTTAACTTACGACAGATCAAATTATATATAACTTAAGTCTGATACAAGAAAACACATGTTAGTAATATTATGGAATAATTTTCATAAGATGAATTTATTTTTTGTGGAATGAATTAGGCATTACTTAAATTGTTTACTTGTCTATTTGTTACTACATGAGATAAGAGCTAAATTTTGTACTTTCCATAATTAGTTTATTGATCCTTATAAATTACAGAAATAGAAAGTCTATAGCTAATTTACCTTCAGCTTTGACATTAGAAAAATGTCACCTTTAATTTCAAACTTTAAAAGTAATTTTACATATATTTTTGTATAATTGGATGAAAACAATTAATATTAGATAAATTAACTGGCAATATTTAAGAAGGAATATAAACCAAGTACAACTAAAAGCATTTAAAATTATATTTGTAAACAAATGTTCAAAACAGATTTACTTCTAGACAAGATATGTCCTCATTAACCTTTGTCTTAATTGTTCCAACACACTTCTTTCTACCAGAATCAAAACATACCATAAAAAGGCAATTTTCTCCAGGCTAGAATTAAATGAACCTCTCTGATAATGAACATTCAATTACAAAAAAATAATTCATTTTCATTTATTGCCAGGCAGGAACTATTTTATTTTTGTTTTATATCCTGGAAAGTACCAGTTTACATGATTGGGAAATTATATATTTCCTTTTGAGTCACATATCATGTGAATACAAATGAAGCACTTGGTATAAATTAGGATCAATAAAATCAGAGGACCGAGGGGACAGAAAGACAACAAAATTGAGGAAAATGAGCTGAAGATAAATTAAGAAGGAAAGGGGTGGAAGTAAAGAAGTAACACTGCACGCTCTGTTTAATAAGAGTAACTACTACACAATAATGCAAGTCCACTGTGATTTTAAAGTGGAAAAGTAAATTCAAAATTTTATGTAAATTCTATAAACATTGACATATGGCAATCAATGGAAATTTATTTTTTTAAAGTATCATGTGACTTGGTTTGATCTATGTGCTTGATCTATGGCTGAAAGTTTATGAATCTTAGAGTAAACTATCTGAAAGGTATTTTCCAGTTCTACTATTCTGAGTCTGGTATAATATGACTCATCATTCTCTCTTTTCTTTCTGTTGAGTGCAATAAAAATCTATTGATTAATTTCAGAAGCAAAGGCTTATCGCCAAATAAAGGATTCCTCTAGAGGCTTTAAAAAAAAATAAAACAAACAAAAAGCAAATGTTTCTCTTGCTATTAATTCGTATAGTTGTAATTCATCTATTTTATAATAAACAATGCATCATTAACCCTCTTCCAAGTAACTTTTTAATACCTAGTTCAAAACATGTAGTTGTTGATTATTTGAAATTCAAAAATTCTACTTTTAAAGTTAGATGTACTGCTGGTATAATTAAGGGAAAAAAAAAGCATGTTTACAATAAAAGAGGCACTTGAAACAGGTAGGGCTCAACCGTGGAATTATACAGCTTTATTGATGAAGCTTAAGCGTCAAGAGATCAACTGGATTCCTATTGTCTAGAAAAGGACTCCTAAGATCATGCTAAAGGAAGTGTTTATATCTTTTTTTTTAAGATTTTATTGGGGGAATTGGGGGAGGGGAACAGACAAGTTGCTGTCCTTTTGTTCTTCAGTCTAGTTGTGGAGGATGTCACTTCACTGGCCCATTTGGTATTATCATTGCGCTCTTCCTGGGTGAGGCAGATTGGTCGCTGGGCTCTGGATGGCTGCTCACGGCGGCTCTTGGCAGCTCACACTGGCTGCCGGCCACACACGGTAGCTTATGGCAGCCCACTACAGCTTCACTGCAGCCTGCACCGTTGCCAGTGACTCATGGCAGCCCAGCTCCAGGTCGAGCTGCTGTTCACCATCTTAGCTGTAGAGGGTGCAGCATCACTGGCCCCCACATGGGATCTGAACCAGGGCCCTGCTGCTCAGAGCCGGCATCACAAGCCAGCTCTTAACCAACATGCCACTTGGCCAGCCCAGGAAGTGTTTATATCTTTACCAGATATAGACCTTGTACACTGGAGAGGCAGGTGGTTTCATAATTTAAAAATGCCTTCAGGCAGGGCCTTCACAAGAGTTGATCAGAGTTGGATTTGATGACCATGCTCCTGACATATTCCAGATGGCAGCACTAGCTCCTATTTTTCCCCCAAGGGCAACACTTTGGGCTTTACTGGCCATTTGAAACAAGTTCCACAGATTTTGACTGAAATTTTAAAATCACCTAAATGAGTACTGAAACAGAGATTAAATAATAATTCAATTTAAAACACC